TGTTTCACATCTCACAAAATTATGTAATAATACATTAACACAGTAATATATTAAAGATCAATATTCTAAATTGTTTTCAAATCCTTGTATTGATATATTAACAAACCAACCACAGTGTTAAACAAACAAATGCTGATACAAAAGACTCTACTCATAAAGGATAGAAAATATGTTTTAGTTTTAAAGTGTTCTTTACCAGTTAAGAATTCTAAAATCTACGTAGTTTACAGCATTATCAAAAGATATTCTCATAACTTTTTTAACTATACTTTACATATTCTGAAGCAAATCTATGATGAAAAATTATTCCAGACCTGCTTAGCAAGAGAAATCCTGGGTTTTAAATTATGTCACTATATCTCTGCTTCAGACATTCAGAGGTGTATGAATTTATATGAGCTGCCTGCACCATCAGGAGGATGAGGTACTTAAAGCAGTAATCCCACTCAGAATTAAAGAGATGCTAGGCATGAGACGCCTGCTTCTCAATGACAGAATTGAAATAGTTCAGCATTATATTGGGAGCTAATATTTGTGCATATTTTTCACTTATGAAAAATAAAACTGTATTAACTGTCTCTAGCAGCCTTATTTGTAAAATATGTGACAAGTTTTCTTAGTTAACATATTTGCTGTGAAAATAATTTCAAAATTTATATATTCTTGTTTCCTTCTTATATTATTATATTTCAGGAATTGTACTCTGAGATAAATGATAATAAGACAAACAAATCAAGGATAAAAAAATTACATATATGCCTTTCCGGTAGCACAAGTAGATGAAAAAGCATAAACTACAAGTTGGTAAAATTAATTGAAGAAAAAGATATGCAAGTTGTAGATAATATTTAAGTATTTTAAAATTAATATCATAAAAATTCTGCCATTCAAAGTGAGATTACAAACTAAATGGAGCATACATTATTACTCTGAATTGTCTCTTTATACATAACTTTAAATTTTGTTCTCTATTTTTGCTTTTATTTATCAATATTCTCAAATTTTCAAGTATCCTTTTCATTGTCAATATAACCACTCTCTCAGGCTTCAATGGGATCCAGTGCATAAAGATTTCAGTGACCAACATTGTGTCAGAATGGTAAGTTTAACAATCAAAGCCAATGGCATTGAAATCTATACTTGCCTCCTTTTCAGAAAAACTGTTGCTCTCTACAGGATGTGCCAATAAGATGAACATCTGCCTCAGTTGTTGCTGGGACCGAGGAAACATTTGAGGAAAGAAAGTCCTAGAAAATGAGAACTGCAGGTAGCCAGGTGATGTCGAGAGTTGCAAACAGAATGGCCTTGGGCAGCTCTGCCTGAACATTTTAGCAATATCAGCCAGTCTTCATTACTACTCACCATCTTCCTGAAGCTGGTTTAGGTAGGGAGTCTCTCATTGTCTATCAAGAATTGTCAGTCATTAATCTTATGTTTATATTGTGCTCATCCATTGTGCTCATACATTGTTCTCATTCATCGCTTACAGCATTTTTTTTTAATTTTCAAAATTATGGTGTGTGATATACAAGACATATATAATTGTGATTTGAGTGATGATTTCATAGTTTAAAAATGGGAAACACATGTTAAAAAATAACTGAATAGTTTCTTTAAACTCACAATTGACGATTATTTTTAGCAAAACATATGGGATACTTATACCTTCTAAGTCAGCCTAACTTTTAAAATATATAATGCTAATGTTGCTAATATTAATAAAACAATTGATATTATACCGCAGTTATATTGTGATGAAGTAAATCCAAGATCTTAAGAAAGTAAAATCATGCGGCTTTATGTAAATGAGAAGTTTAGGTACATGACATTAAAAGGGAAAAAGCTGGTCACTGATTTGCTCTTAACACAACTGGAGATTCTGGTAGGACACCTAGAGAGATGTCTCAAAGCACCTTTCAGCATTAGACATTTATATACAGGGTCATCCATAATGTTGATAGGTGATACTGAGAACTATGTATTTGTGGAGTAAAAAATTCGCACTCTCACAGTAAAGGTCAAGGTGTCAGCATAATTGACAGATGTAGAAACTGAAGCACAAACAGATAAATATCCACAAGCAAAACAGATTTTTAACAGTCTTTATGATGCAAAAACCAGTCTGTTTGGATGCTCACCTTCCTGGACCTGGAGGGAGGGGGGAGGAACTTGGACTTCCCACAGGGCAGGAGACCCTGACTGCCCTTGGGGACAAAGAGGGAGGAGAAGAGGGAGGGGGGAGTGGGAGGGCGTTGGGAGGAGGGGCGTAAATGGAAACTCTTTATAATTTAATAAAATTACTTTCAAAAAAAAAAAACCCGGTATACATGAGTTAATAATATTGTTGGCAAAGAGCATTTAAATGAGAATGTGGGTCCTGAGACAACAGAGTGATCCAGAATAAGAAATAAGACTGTTAATGAAGCAGCTAAAGACTTGGGAAAAAAGGCATGTATATTATTAACTATTAATCAGTTTTGTTGTAAGTCCTTGAAATATAATCTAAAAAGTTTAAGATCCAAGTTAAAACTGTATGGGGACTTATGTAAACTCACAAACACTGCAAGAAAGTAGATTTGAGCTTTCTAATGTAACTCACTGGGCAAATATGAGAAGTAATTTTCTTCCTATTAGACAAAAGATGACTATAGGATTCTAAAACTTAAACTACATTATGCGTAGTTAAATGATTTTCACTTTCAGATTGCATTAAAACTGAATTACAATCACTACTTCCTGAATTGCTTGGTATTTCTTTCCTCTATAATGAGAATATTAATAGTGAATATCTTCATGCAATCAAATACATGCATTGCTCCATTTGATTCAGTATTATTGAATATAACATTAAGAGTGTCTTCTAATTGATTTCACAAAGACTATTAAATAGGATCATGTTGCAGGAAACTGTTTGGGAGCATATGACCAGGTAGAGAAACAGGTAACAAACACAAAGCAGTGTAACAAGCAGGTCTGTTTAGTATGTGCCAAGACTCCTTGAAAATGTGATGGGAAACTCACAGGCAACATCCACATAACATCACATTCCACATACTATCACATAGCATATAGTGCCACAACTCACTACAACTCATATAGTATTACATATCACTACATATCACTCACATATCACACGCCACACATCACTACAGATAACATGCCACAAGTCACCACATATTACATAGCACCACATAAAATAGCATCTATCAAAACAGAATATACAGGACCACCTAGCATTCACCACCATAGTTCACATAGATATTCATATCATACATTATCATATACTGATATTCTATTTATGTTTTAATAAATGAAGCTTGCATAAACATCAGAAGGGCAAAGATAAGCCACTAGAGGTCATGTAATGGTGACACACACCTTTAATCCCAGGATGTGGGAGACAGAGGCTGATGGATCTTTGTGAGTTCAAGACCACCCAGGGTGACACAAGATCGATGCAGAAACAAATCAAGGAGGTGATGTCTGACACCTTTAATCCCAGAACTAAGGGAATATAAGATGAAAGGAGAGAGAAGATTGCCTGCTTAGTCTGCAGTCAGCTAGCTCCTGTAGAAGTAAGACTTCTCTAGTGGCTTGGTTGCTTTGCTTTTCTGGTTTTGGGTTTGAACCCCAATATCTGTCTCTGACTTTTATTATTTGTGCTACATCATCACATATTACACATCAACACACACCATCCACCATTGCATATCTCCACATTTCAACACCACCACATAGCACAATACATCATACACTACTACATATCACCTTGCATCTATATCACCATGAGTCACATAGCACATTTCCCCACAGATCATATATCATCACCTATTATATATCTCATATTAGCATATATAATTATTACCTGCTTCATATAATCATATATAATCACATACAAAATATATCACATGTTATATGTTCTTCATTTAGAAACCTTTTATCAGACATAATCATATCTTCTCTGGAAAATCAACACCCAGTTGTCCATTCAATTAATGTAATGTTTTATCAAAAGTATCTGTGATTTAATATTTCATGTCTATATATATTTATTATCATGAATTTAATCCTCTATCATTTATTTAATGTATAATATTAACTTTAGCTTTCAGTAAGAGACAGTATTTTTAAAGGAAATTATATAAATTGTATTTGCATGGTTATACATACCCTCTAAGTATTCTTTTTGAGCACATACACCTATTTAGGAAAATGCATGCCAATATCATCTTCAACCTTGTCAAATTTTGACAAAATAAATGTGTGTGTGGCAACCAGAACATAGGTCAAGGAATGCAAACAACCAATTGTTATCAAACCTCTGTACTTCTTACCAGGCAATATCATGTGACACAGTAAACTTCAGTGGTAAAAAGTTTTAGTATTTGCTAATTTACTTGAAAATTTAAAATAGTAACTTGTACTCCTTGTAAAATCAAAGTCACCTTTAAACTAAACTTTTATTAAGAACTGACTTCAGAAATAGAGAAAGGAAGGTCTCAGCGGGTAATAGTACTTTTTTCCAAAGGACCAAGGCTCATTTCTCAGCAGCCATACCTTCAGCTGGCAACCACTGGCAGATCCAACACTTTCTTCTTGTCTCTGCAGACCCATAAACACAAAGGCAGACACCACACACACACACACAGATACACACACACAACACACAATTACATAGAAAATAAACAGATTCCACTTTATAGTCCAACCATGTACCTCTCAAATTGATTCAGGATAAGCATGCACACCGACACAGTGCTAACTTCTCAGTTTGTTGACCCATGCTCTATAGCAGGACACCAAAATAAAACCTAAATGGCAATAGTCAGACACTCAAGGCAGAAGGTGGTGGTGAATAGTGGAAATTGATTGATATTGAACAAAGCAAATTTCTACCCATCTATACATTTTCATCACATGCTGGGGTGTCTGAGCAGCTAGCTATACTTTGAGAAACTTAGAATATATCTCACATCCTGGAACCTTAAGAGACAACTTACTGTTTGGAAGGCTCAGGACATTTTGGTTCTTCTAGCTTCTTCATTTCTCTTGTTTGGTCCACTGGGCTAAGAAGGACGGCTGCGCACGACATTACAGAGTGGCAGGAATCTTCCCGGCAAACTGTAGTTTGAAAACAAATAATTGTAATTGTTAAAACAGCTCAGTGGCTATTCTCATGTTCCTCATTTCACATTTATATTTTCAATCAAGCTCAGGAAGAATTTCAACAAAAACATTAATTAACATTAGTAATCTTTAGTTTTTTTAACACGCTATTTTTCACTAATTAGCTGTACAACCCTAAGAAATGAAAAGGTATTCCTAACATTTAGCAGCTACAAGACAAGTTGCCCTTGAAGGGCCAAAAACAAGTACATACCAAGGCAATGTATTTTATATATCCATACACAGAGAGTTCACTTGCTTCATTAAGACCAAGATGCAAATAAACTCATGCATTACCATGTGCCTAGACTCCTGAGGTCTCCTCGCCCAGCTACAGCCCCAAACTCGCCTACTGTTATCATATTGTTATCATAAATCAGCTTTCATTTCTAATTTCTGCAATGGAGTCATAAACTTTGTGATCATTCATAAAAGGATGGCTTACTTTGTAATGTGTGTTTTTGCAAGATCCATCCACAAAATGTACTGTTGATTTATTGTTGTGGCAATGTAGTTTTCCTTTGGATAAACAAACTAAGTTCTTTTTAATCTTTCAATAGTAATAGACACAGTTCTAGTGGGGGCTGTTTCTATTACCTATAAAGATCCTTGCACTTTTTAGTTAGTAACAAACAGAGGTTTATTCTTGAAAAGCTTCTCAGACCTATTATTGTTCTTAGGATATGGCATTGACTATATTCTCGATAGCTGATCCAGTGAACAGTTCTCTGTCATGACTATCTTACTTTCTGCCAAACAGATGTTTCAATTGCCCCACACCTATAAAACACTTGATTTCACAAGTTTTCCATTGAAGTTTCATGATATATGAATATTACATCACTGCAACACAAATTCACAAAAATTCTGCTTACAGTAGCATTCACATGTTATCTTAAAGTTCTGTAGGTTGTAAATCTGGGTAGGTGAGCTCAACACACTTCTCCTCTTAGAAAATCAAAGCGCAAATGTATTGAGATGCTCTGGTTTCACTCTTGCTAAAAGTTTCCATGAGGCAAGCATTGTGGTCTAAGGAGTAGCCTGGTATAGGTGGCATTCTGGTTATTATCTTCTGTATTTCATCTTGAAATGTACCCAATAACCTGTTTTTCTCTTTTAAAAAATATCTGTGTGGAAATAATTTACTGACAAATTAATTCCTCGGTTTGTAGTGTCTGACATTGCTTGTCAAGTTGACAATATCCAGAACCCTGTAGAGGACAGTCTCTGAGAAGGCCTGCTAGAAACTATGTTTAGCAGATGAACTGCGGTGGGAAGACCCACCCTGAATGTGGCAGCATAATTCCATGGCTGAGGTTTGAGACTGTATGAAAAGGAAAAGGCGAGTTGAACATAAGAGTTCATCTACCTCTTCTCTGTTTCCTGCCTCTGGATACACCCTGGCCGTAGGCTCTGGGGGTTGTGTCTGCCCTTGCCATTGAGGACTGGCAAGGGTTCTTGGAGCTAAACAAACTTTTTCCTCCTGAAGCTGACAGTGCCTGGGTATTTAGTCACAGCAGCCAGAAAAGAAATGAATAGAAAGTTGTTAGAAGAATTTGCTTCCTTCTTCTGAGAGAAAATTGTTGGGAGCTGCAGAACCCCAGACCCTGAACTTTCTATGACTACTTGCCTGCCAGAGGGGAAAAAAATGCTTTTCTATGCTTGTTGCTGCTCTAAGCATGGAACCCTCATGAGTTTCTAATAAGAAGGATGTGGTTTCTAGTGGGCTTACAGCTGAAAAATCCTGAGAGCTAGGGCATGGCTACTAGTTAAGGAGAGCACTACTTGAGCTACCTTGAAACATATTAAAATTGGCATTCTTACTTCAAGGGTGACCTGCGTTTCTTTGTGTTTTTTACTCCCCAGACCCTTGTCTGACCACAGTTCCAGGTGTTGCAGGTGTCACAGAAAATCAAGGCTCAAATTTCTAGGAACAATCTTGTGTCATCATAGAATTCTGCCTTTTAGAGCTATTCGATTAAGAATCAGTACAATAAATATCTTTAATCTATAAGTATCTGACAAATTAAATCAATATGTATATAGTCCTCATTTATGTGATTCCAATTTATGTAAACTATTTTTAATCTTAGTCAAATAAGAGTAATCATGGTGTATCAACTTTAATTGTATAAATTTATAAACATCTTTAATTCTTTTCAGTCTACGACACCAAGGAAACAACAAATTCAAGCCACAGTCAGTGACACAGTTGTGAACTTTATCAGAATCTGAAGATTATTGATCACTAGGCACCTATTTTGTGCTATTGAGCACAAACCTGCGATGAAGCGATGCAGCATTTTCCAAATGTATATAATCTAAATAGATAAATTCGCCAGGAAAATGAAAATATGGAAAATAAATGAATACTGAGAGAGCTGGAGGATATCTGAGTTGAACGTAAATGTTGATACTCAAGTGACACAAATATTCATTTCAAGAACAAAGTGACGACAGCACAAATTGGTCTCTTCCTCAATGTAGCAAAAAGCAAGTAAGAAAGAGAATACAGGAGAGTGAAAATGCCACAGCCAGAACAAGGAAATTCAAGACAGTCAACAGCATGATCTCAAACAAAAACTCTGACAGAAACCAAAAGCAATGTGCTTCACTTTCCCCTTAAAATGCTGTGAGGTCGTCACTTCAGTGATGAAATTTTGGTATTTAAATAAAATTAAACTACACTCAGCTTTTTATGTAGGAGGTCCTTCTGTCTTTGTGTTGCTTCCATTGGTTAATGAATAAAGAAACTGCTTTGGCCTAATAGGGTTAAACATAGGTAGATGGAAAAGACAAAACTGAATTCTGAGAGGAAGAAAGCAGAGTGAGGCAAAAGTCATGAATACTCCGCCGGAGGCGGATGCCAGTTAGAATCTCTGGTAAGCCACTGATAGGTGACAGTACACAGATTAATGGAGATAGGTTAAACTAATATGTAAGAGCCAATAAGCAGTTAGAGCTAATGACCAAGCAGTGTTTTAATTAATACAGTTTCTGTGTAGTTATTTCGGGTGTAAGCTTGCTGGGCTGCTGGGACAAACAGGCAGCATCTCTCCATACAACAAGCTTTCAATACTATATTATTTGGTTCTTGGTTGTTGCAATAAAGGAAAATCAACATATGGAAGAAAGTGTTTATTAGACATACAGGCTACAGTTTATCACTGAGGGAAGCCAAGAAATAAACTGAAACAGAGACCATGGAGGCAGCAGGTCTCTGGAAATGAAATCAAGGACAGTGGAGGGAAACTGTTCACTGACTTGTCTCTTATGACTTGTTTAACTAACTTTCTTATACATCCCATGGCCACATGCTCAGTAATGGCAATGCCCAAATTAGGCATCTGTTTATTAGCAATCAAGACAATGTACCACAGACATTTCCCACACAACAGGCTGGTGGAGGCAAACCATCAACTGAGGTTCATGATTCCCAGGTGACTGGTTTGTGACAAGTTGATGAAAAATAGCTAACATAAGCACTTTTAGAATTCATTTATCATGCAACACAAAATTAGTGGGACTAATTTAGATTATACAAATAAGTAACAGAAAAATAACTTCTCAAAACAAAAAAATAAGCCAATGCTGTGCTCCAAAGGCAGAAATTGAGAAATAACAGAGCCCTTAGCAGCCATCACTGGCAGGAGGAGTGCCCAAGATAAATGAAGCAATGGATATTAATATGATAACGATATTCCAGCAAAAGACATTCTTCCAAGCCCATGTGGATACTTAAAATGCAGATCAGTATCTTCTAGTGATCATGATGTAAGCTCCTCTATGTAGGAATTGAATTTGCATACTAGTTGTAAATTATCTTGAATTTTATCACCCACAAAAGTGTAGGTGAAAAAATTTTCAGAATAAGATGAATAACAATAGATGGAAAAGTGCATTTTTATTAAAATCTACCTTAATGATACAGATTAAAATGAAAGTTCATAAAAAAATTCTTCCAAATGCTATTGAATGCCTTCCCGAAGTCAATGTAACAGACATATAAGTCTTTTCCAAATTTTTCATAGTTTTCTGCCAGTTGCCTCAAAGTGAAGATCTGATCTATGGTGCTCCTGTTAGCTCTGAATCCACACTAGGCCTCTGCTAGGATTTCCTCTGTTTTGTCCTTTATCTTTGAAGGACATGGGGGGAAAAGTTCTTGCTGCTATGGCACAACAAACTGATGCCCCTATTTGAGCAGTCCAGCTTGTCATTCTTCTTGTGTATGGGAATTATGGCTGAGTGCTTCCATTCTGTTGGAATCACTTCATGTTCCCATATCTCCCTAAAGAGTCTAAGAAGCGCCTTGGCCCCTGAGCCTATTGTAGTCACCTCCAGCTCCTCCACCGTGATGTCATCCACTCCTGTGGTCCTTTTACATTTCACTCTCTTGACAGCTTCCTCTATCTCTCTTGTCGATATTTAACATTTTCTCATCATCTCTGGGGTTCGAGTAGCTGCCAAAGTATTTCTCATTGCAGTCTATGTTGACAGCATTAGGGTCATTGTATAGGGTGTCAAAGTATTGTCTCTGTCTTTGCTTTATTTCCCCTGGCCCTGCTAATAAACGGCCTTGCCTATCTTTTATAACCCTAATCTGAGGAACATATCTGGCAGTTATCTGTTGATAGCTTCATAGATAAAATGTGTTTTATTATGGAGTCTAGCCTTTTTGACCTCTTTGCATATACCTTTTATATACGGCTCTCTATCCTTTGCTCTTCTTTGACCTCCATGTAAAGATAGTTGTGGTGTTTTGTTGCCTGCAAATTGTCACTTCATTAGCTCTTTAGCTTCCTCTTTTTTCTGCGAGGTTGATCATCTCTGCAGTACGCGATTCTACTGGTGTTGCTTTTTTGTACATAACCAAGCATCTAAGCCTCCTGTACAGTTCTTTTGGCTTTCTCCCACTCACTTTCTATATTTGCAAAGGGTTGATTTCCCTCATCTTT